AAGGGAGGAAACAAATGCATAAAATGGACAGATAGAGAACATTCTTAAAAGCAATGAAAAAGTTCCTTAATAATTTTCAGGATACAGGCAAAATCTCTTGGCTACATTTTATCCCAACACAGTACTACCAGGAGAACAGTTACTATCACTGCTTTGAAAGTATAAAAAGTCCTCTCTGGTCCACAAACCTTGCTGAAGAAAGCTAAGTAAACAACCCTTCTGGGGAAGGCTCTGCAGCACCTGGACAAGCGAGCTGTGGAGTTTAAGCTATCTGTAAGTGCCAGGAAAGGAAGACACTTTTGGTGTCTGAAACAGCAAGCTCTCTGTTACTGTGCCCTCTCCCCAGGGAATGCCAAATAACACAATTTTAGGATCTGCTATCTCTGAGAGATATTATCCCCAAGTGCCAAGTAAATCCCTAAAGGGGAATAAAAAATAAAATTATTTGAAATTGCCTCCTGATCCAGTCATTAGCCCAGGTAAGTCCTAATCTTGACTTTATGGAGATGGGACTTTCTCAGATGGCACCTTCTTACCATGCAGAGGACTGATGGTAAGAAAGTAGGTTCTAGATAAGAGGGGAAGATTGCTACCCCTTTAGCAATCTTTACATGCCAACCATTGCATCTTACTCTTAGTTGCTAGCAGTGGTTCTCTAACTGTGGGTCGAAACCCCTTTGGGTGTTAAAGGACCTTTCACAGGGGTCGCCTAAGACCACAGGAAAACACAGGTATTTACATTAGGACTCATAACAAAATTGCAAAAGCTACTCATAGCAAAACTACAGTTATGAAGTAGCAGCGAAAACAATGTTGTGGTTGGCCTTACCATTACATGAGGAACTGTATTGAAGGGTTCCAGCATTAGGAAGGTTGAGAGTCATCTGCAGAGTCTCCAATCCCTTTAGCTGTGACACATAAATGCAGTCACACTCTCTGTAGACACACACTATATCTATCACCCAAAGGCTGAAGGACATTCTTAGACCCTCTTTATAAACACAGCTAACAGAAGTGCATTCCACTTTAAGATTCAGCTCCAGACGAGGCAAGGTCGGGACAAGGTTCCTTTCTCTTACTTCTTACATATAAAACGAAAGATGATCCTATGGCTCTAAAAACAATTGTGTTTGCCATTACAAGTCAGGGCAGCTACTACTTATCAGCCTTCGAATTAACTTTTTTTTTCTTTTTTTGAGGTTTTTTTTTTTTTTTTTTTTTTTTTTT